AATAGTTTTCAAGACTTCTTTGTTGGTCTTGTGTGTAAACTCATGTACAGAATACCAGGTTTTGAAAGTTACTGACTGATCAATACTGCTCATCCTGATTTTTTTTTTTTAATTGTATATTTCTATAATCATATTTTTAATGCTGACTGAGTGACAGAATGGGAGTTTATTTTGCTGAAGGTATTTTTAAGATAAAGCTTCATAATGTCTTGTAAACTTAGATGGTTTGATATGCATTTGTCTCATTTGAAAACCTTGCATATTGTATCTTATTTTATACTAAATCTTGAATAGTGAAAATTGTAAACATAAGTTGTATACAAATTAAAATGATTAACCAAGGCTTTTTTATTTTTTTCCCTCATTTTATTCTCAAGATCTTCAAAAATCAGAAAGTGTCATAAAGCTTAAGTGTGCATGTAATTCCTAACAACTTATCGGTGAAGATACTATTACTTAAAGTGAGAGCAGAGCACTGAGACTTAGATCAGGATTGTATTTCAACTCTGATACCAACTTCATTTAAGATAATCATTTAACTTTTTCCCCCACCTGCAGAATGCATTTAGTGCCCATCTCTATAAAGTGCATTAAAATAGGCAGGTAAAAGATTGTCTAGCTATACTTGACACGTTTGCCAGAATTGAATTAATTTTTTGAAATAATTGACATTTTTTAAACTTTTGGAAATCATTGTGATCAAATTAAACAATTTGAACACTTTTCTTCTTAAATATTCCTTTAAAATGTTGCATATAAAATCAACATCAGCTTAATTAGATCAGAATGTGATTGACCTTTAAAGTCAACCTTTGCCACTAACTGCCTCCCTCTTTGGGAAATGTCTGTGATTTTAAACTTTTAATTCCTAAGCCTCTCTCTCACCTGCTTTCTGATAAGTGTAATTATGTCTGTATTTATGAGAGAAAACATTAACATCATCCTAGTGTCTGTCAACAAAGTGTACCTCTCTAACATTCTACTCTTCATCCACTTCAAAACTGATTACATGTACTTGTCTTCTATTCAGTTCATATGATTATTTTCCCAGCATGGTATATCAGAGTGTAGCTGAATCCTAAGGACAATGTTATTTCAGTGACAAGAACCATTTCTAACACTAAATCTTTGGGCACATGTATTTAACATGTACAAAGAACATGGTATGTGATCTGGATCTTAAAGGAAAATGCAAGAAAATAGATTGACTGGAATTGTAAGACAACTACTTAAAACAAGTTGGATAGATTATGATTTATATGGGGTCATTTCCAGATCTGATGATTTTGTTTAGGCTAGTTTTTAGTTTTTCATGCTAGAGTGGTTCCATGTGGCTATTTGTAGCGGTGCCACTAAGCAAGGGTGCCAGAGACACAGCCCAAGACCCACATCTAATCAGTCCAGCCTACTGGAAATAGGGGACATAGCCAGGGATGAGTGTGGCCTGCCATGGAATCTGGGACCCCTTGGCCCTGGCCTTTAGCAGCAGGCACATAAGCAGTGGCCTGGCCTGCGGTTGCTTGCCCCACTGCTGTTGCAGTGGCCACAGCTGCTTCTAGTCACCATTGCTGCTGCAGTGGCTGTGGAGGTTGTTCTATACAAGATCCAGCCCAGGGTGCCAGGTGCATTTGACACCCCTGCATTTAAAAAAAAAAAAAACCATTTTTCAAACCCCTTTTTTGCAAGGGAACTTGAAAACTAACCAAAACCCCCTTTGCCATTTTTTTTTTTTTGTTTTTTTTTTTAAATGGGGGGGGTTCAAATGCCCCTGGCACCCCGGCGTGGTTTTTTTTTAAAAAAACCCCGCCAGGGGGGCCGGGGGATTTTAACCCCCCGCATTTAAAAAAAAAAAAAAAAAAAAAAAAATGGCAAAGGTGGTCTTGGTTAGCTTTCAAGTTCACTTGCAAAAAAGGGGTTTGATAAATGGTATTTTTTATTCTAACAGAGGAGTAGTTTGTCTGCAGCAGGAAGATTGGCTTATCAGCCTAGTATGTGGCAGTATCATATGGGGGAGCCTCTTAGATCACCTATAAGGTTAATTTCCAGCATCCCTTCCCCTGAACAAACTAGCACCAAGTAGGGTCACAGGATACTGACTAAATGAACTGCTTCTGGCAGAGGATGAAAACATGCCAGCAGTTGACTTGGGGCCTCCTAGTAGGTTTACAGCATGTTATTTAATGCCCTGTCTCCATCATTTGTCTAAGGATCCACCAACTGGGATATAAATGGAAAGAAAACAAAGTATTTTCTTAAGAAGTAATAGAAGCCTCCCCCACCACCCAACCTTGGCATTATTAAATGTTTAAGACCCCCCCAACCTTGGCAATTTTAGATGTTCAGCCTTGAAGCCAACTTTGGCTTTGCAGTGTTTCATTATGACAGGATTCTAATTGGTGAAAAAGCTTCAGCAACTGCAGTACGTTTCCCCTGAGGATAACTTCTTCACATTTATAGAAGTCAGGAACTCTTTTCCCTGGGGTATTCCTCCTGAGTGGAAACATTTCCTTCAAAATACTTTCTACTCATGCTTGAAGAAAAGAATAACATGAGCAAGACTAGGTGAAAGGTTTTATCATCCCATTTCTCCCCCCCCCCAGTTTCCAAAATTGGGACTTTTGAATCCCAAAGCATTTACCCTGGACAGAAAAAGCCCAAGTCCTCAGCAAAACTATGCTTATTTCAAGTCTTTTTAAAATGATTATGGCTTGAAGAAAGTCCCTTGAATCTTAATTAATTCCATACTCACAGCATGTAGCATACATCCTGCATGCCTTGAATACAAAAAGGGGTCTTACTTTAATTAAGTTGATCACATCTAATCCTGTTCATTGAAAGATGCATCTTTTCTGGCAATGGATAGTGCAGAAAAATTACTCTTTATAAAAAGTAACATTGAACCTTCTGGCCAGATTAGCTGGGGTCATAACTGCTTAGTTACTTACAGTACCTGCTGTGCGTCTTCTACCCAGTTGGTCTGCTAGCTTGCTGACTGTATGAACTTTAGACATGGTGAAGTGCAGATACTTCCAAAAAGGAAAGGAAAGGCAGGAATTAGGAAACCAAAATATAATTATCTAAAGAACAGAACAGATTCCAACTAAATGAAAAGCACTATGGAATCCTCTGGTGATGGGTCACATTTTGTTACCTGGAAAGTCAGGGAGGATTTACAACCCCAGCCACAGAATGGTGAGATTCAGAAAAGTGCATTCTGCACCTGGACTTGGGCATTTGCTCAATGTCCCCCCCCCCCCAAAAAAAAAAAAAAAC